TTTCATTGGCCAAGCATTTATTGACTATCTGCCATGCCCGAGGTACTGGGCTATTGTTCTCTATGTCTATGACCCTATTCTATTATTTAATTCCGTGACTCCGCGTTGATGAGAGATGTGAAGGTGCTCCCATCACAGTCACTCCCAGGTGAGGTCAGCCGGGGCAGGCGGAGAGGAATGGGCATTGTCTGACCTGAATGGATAAGCTGGCACAGTGGGTTGCCCTGTGCTACCACTCCATGCCATCCAGGCCCACTCAGTCTCCTCCCCAGCTAATAAACACGGCCCGGGTGCCAATACCCACTGCCTATTAGTAGGTACTAGAATCTCCAGTGACCTCGTGCCTCCCGCTTCTCTCTCCCACTCACTCACCTGTTGTGTTGGACCGGGAAGAACTGATTTGGAGCCAGGCAGCCCTGCATCCAGTCCTGACTTTGGCACTTGTGATATGTCTTGGACCGGTGAGTTGCCTCTGTGAAATGGGGCTAATCATTTGTTTTATTGAATGCCTCCCGGGCAGGTGCTAGGAGAGGAGTAAGGGATACAAAGACAGACAAGGCACAGTCCCTGTCCTCAAGAGACTTGTCCTTGGCAGGGAGAGGAGGGCGTGGAAGCCAGCACAGTGCTCCGCCGGAAGGCAGGCAGCATGCCGTGGGGCGCCCTCCCTCCTTACCTGGGCCTCTCCGGTACACAGTTCCTTTTCCTCACTTTCTCTCTTCTTTAAGAATGTTTTTTTTCTTTCTTTTCCCAACTAACTCAGCTCATCGGCTTGAGGGATTCAGACCTCCTTCCTCCCTTCCCCTCCTGCCTGCCGCAGGACGCCCAGCCTGTGTCTTCCTCCGCACGGCAGGCGCAGTGCTAACAGAGAAGAGTTTCAGATCCGAGCTCCTGCGCCTGGAAGGACCTTGCCGAGTTTCTCCCGAAGCCCCATCCGCGCAGCAGTGTCTCTCTCTTCTCCAGGTTATAAACCCTGTACTCCAACCATTTCAGTCTACTCTCGGTTGACCAAATTTGCCATTCATGAAAGAATTCACCCATTCATAAAACCCGTATTAAGTGTACATGAAGGCCCAGATACTGTATTCTGTGTCAGGGTTACACAGAAGAATAAAGAGATGGGATAATGTAGTGGTTAAAATCAGAGTTGTTGGCCTAGCCTAGGCCTGAGTTGAAATCCCAGTTCTGCCATTTGTCACCTGTATGACCTCGCACGAGTGGCTGTGCCTCTCCAGGCCTCCGTTTCTATTTTAGAAGTGCTGATACCGATTGGGTTATTGTGCAAATTAAGCGGGGGCCTAATCTGCGGAGCATCTGGCAACAGCCCTCAGCCCTGCACGGTAGAGAGCAGTTGCAATGGCGTGTAGCAAACACTTTGCGTCTTCCCCAGAGGCAGACGCTGCGACAAAGATTCAAGTAAAAGAGATTTATTTAAAAGTGATGAGGGCGGAGAGGAGTGGAAAGGGAGTGGGGAGTGGGACCTGGGAGGGAAGCGGATGGGAGGGGAGTGGAAGGAGGGGAGTGGGACGGGGGTTGGGCGGGAAGGGGCGGGAAGGAGGCCAAACAAATGAGCAGACACAGCACAGTCTCGTGGAGGACAACCTGGGCTCACACGGCTGGCGGACTGATACCTTCGTGTTTGTGGTCGCCAGTTAAGGCCTGGGGTGGTGTAGGGGAGTGAGACGGTTGGGGCGTGTGAGGATGTGGGAGAGACAACATTTCCAGGTGATTCTAGCACTCTGCACCAGGAAAAGTTCCGGCTGCCCGAGGCGCAGGGGCTACTGGGAGTGACATAGGCACAAACATGGTATAAGGATCCGAGAGGAAACGTGGGATCACAGTCTCTGCCCACCAGAGGCTGAAGGCCTGGGAGGGGAAGAGACGTGAATCAATAAATCATGGCTGTCGGGATGACCGGGGTGGGCGGTGGTCGCGCAGACTTGTCCCTGAGGAGACATGCAAGCGGTTTGGGAGAGGAAGGCCATTCCAGACGTACGGAACAGCTCACGCGAAGGCAGAGGCCTGCCGCAGCCTGGCGCAGACATGCGCGAGGGCAGGTGTGGAGGTGGTCTGTCCGCCGCCAGGCCCCCCGCCACCCCCTCCACCCCCACAGGGCGGCTTCCGCACCTGCGCTTTGTGCGCTCTTCTTTTCCGGGACTGTCCCCCATCCTCCAGCCACAAGGCCAGCCCTCCCCTCAGGTCCTGCTCTGGGTCCCCCTCCTGGAAGCCTCCCTTGAGCATTCCGACTTACCGTGACTCTTCGGAACTCACGGCGTTTCGTTGGTGCTTACTCATGCAAGTATGCAGTGGTATGCATTCTTACTGTCTGTGATGTTATTTAATCGTGCCTAAAAATCCTGGCTCTCCCAGCTGAATTTTAAGCTCCCTGCGAGTGGAAACTGCATATTTTTATTGTTTATATTCTTATATTCTCCCATGGCACCAGGCATTGGTGGACATATTAAAGGTATAAAATAATGAATGAATGAATGAGTGAGCGAATCCGGTCTACTTTGGGAACTATTAAATTCTACTAGGCTCACCGCGACAATTCTTTTTTTTTTT